CAATTTAACAGTTGAATGGTGGGAATCGAAACCATGACCGCCGTCGATAGCTTGTCTGTTATCTTTAAACGTCAGGCTTTTGGTGGGACTGGGAGGCGGGTTGTTTGTATTTTAGTTTATAAAGTACCAGTATTTGTCCGCAATTTCGTCCGCGCGTTATTAAAAGAAACGTAAATATAAATATAGCCTATATCACTTGGAGATAATTTAGCAATGGTTAAGAGCTTGTTCAACACAAACAAACAATGAAATCTTTCCTCTTTATAATATTAGTATAGATTAGTATAAGTAATACCATTGTAAGGTCTTCCGTAGATAACCATTGAAGGATAGCATAGAAACAGTCTACTCTTTTTAGTTGAAATCGCAAAATCAATTTCTAAAATTAATTAATGTCATTTTGCATCTTTTAGTATTCGACGAATTCCTTTATCAAATACTCTTTACGCTTCACTGTTTTAATCTGACCTTAATAGCAAGACAGAATTTCCAGTAAAATTCCCCCCGTGCAGTGCAATATCTCTGAGACAACGTTGTATTCCTCGTAATATCATATTTTCCTTCTTCGCTTTGAGCGAAATGGAAAATTATGTATCAAGCTACTGCGACTTAAACTGTTGCAACTTTGCTTGTTATGTTGACTTAAATTTAGAGCTTTTGGATCTCTTTATCAGTCTTTTAGTATTTTTATGAAGTAAAACCTTTGTAGTGAAAACAATAACTAGCAGGTATTCAACAATGAAGATAACTTTTGAAATGAACTTGTTAACGTTTTACATTCGCGAAACGGTCTTACGAAATCATACACCCCTATTATTCTCTTTTAACAAACAACATAGGTTTTGGTACAAATTTTTCGACAGTCTAAACCCACGGACAACAAATAAAATACCTTATAATTATAGAGTAGGTATCTCTATAAATGTAATTAGCAAATAATTTGAAAAATGTATTAGAAACTTAATATTTGTCAATATAAATTTGTAAAATTAATTATGAGCTTATTATCTCAGGTAAAAAGAAAACATTGACGTATGTTCGAGTACTTATAAGGTATTAAATGAGCCCTTGAATACCCTCTCATTAGTGTGAGCGTAGAGACAGACGGAGGTCAGACAGGTTAACATCGGCGCCCTCTCATGCCTTGGCAACCGTCTATACATCGGGGATCTGTCGCTACGAGACCTCAATAAGCAGATAATTTTGACAAAATAACAAATTATTTTCGGATTCATGTACCTTTACTTACACTTAATATTAAAAGATTTGTTTGTTTGTTTTCATTAAATATGCCCCAAAACTAGTGAACCGATTTGAAAAATTCTTTCACTGTTTTGAAGCTATAATACAGCCTATGTACTCGGGTGATGTAGACTAAACTTATTACTATATTTTTTAATTCCGCGCGGATGATGTCGCGGGTAACTGCTTGTTAAAAATATAAGAATTATTTGTCGTTTGTTAAAGTCGTATTGATCTGTTTGTGAAAAGATAAGGTTCTTTGGAACGTTGATTGGAAGCGTGGGCTGGGTCAAATATTTATAAATATAATCCCAAATAATATCGTACACGCGTTCACGTTATCAATGTAGTTCCAAATATAAATGGCTAGTATTTTCTCGGAAAAGCGTTTTAAATGTGTGTTATTAATATTAACAAAATTAGTATGTAATTTTTGTCAACAAAGGTAATGGAAGGCCGAAGTAAGGATTGTGCGAAAAAGGGTACATATAACAAAGGAGTAAATTCAGATAGCAGACGACAGCTGATACAGATGTATGTAAAAGTACTTAGGTAGCCGACCCTTCGTGGTAAAATGTTCAAATACAAATACTGTCTATTTTTTATGAAACATTGTCTATTAAATATATCTTTAAAGCTGGCGTTTATTTTTGTTATTTGTCTAACATGTTAATTTATTAATTTTCAGGAGTGATTGTGCTATCGTACGCGATTTTGGTGGCATTTGGTTCATTATTCCTTCCCAATGGCATCGACTCTTACGTGTCTATGATACAAAGCCTGGACATGGGAACTTTTACCATCATTCTACTCAAGATGCTACTAGGTGCGCCATTTGTATATCATTATTTCAACGGGATAAGGTATTGTGCATGGAATGCCGGTAAATGGCTCGAATTGAAAGATGTCTACGAAACAGCAAGAAAAAGTTTTATTCTTACTGCTGTATTTACTGTTTTATTTTCATTGTTTTAACTTAATTCAATGATTTTTAAAAATAAATTTTAATTTTTAAAGTATGTTTGATTTATTACCACAATACATATAATATGAAATAAATGTTCATCATCATCAGCTCACTTCCCCACTGTGGGGCTCGGTGCCTCTCTGCTCCTCCTCTAGGTGATCTTTGAATCTCTTCTCGGATATGTGCAGGTTGCATCACCATGTTTTCCTTCACAGTGAGAACGTCGAATTAATGTACATATGAATATCGAAGAGCACATTGGTACATGGCGGGATTCGAACCCAGGACTTGCAGATTACAAGTCAAGTGCTAAACCCCTGAATCACCGACGCTCAGGCTAAATTAATTTTGTTTATTAAAACATTATATGGGCCTTCTTACAAAAAAGTAGACGATGTTTCAACATATTAGCTTAAACATACGTCAACTTTTATACCGCTCGACATTTTGACAAATCATGGCATTTGAAAATATTATACGTAGGCTTGCGAAATTAGTTCTTGTACTAATAGATAATTAAATACTTATACCGAAATTACTGTGCTGATACATATTTATGGTGAAACATATTACCACTTTGACGTCCATAATATCCTTCACCGGCGCTTAAAAGGTTAAAACACGTGTTTCACTAAACAGCGTCTAAATATAAATTTAATGGAGTAGTTTAGTCCATTTTTTAATTTATTTTACAATTGTTATTTTTATAATTGTAAACTTTTAACTTGATAAGTTTTTTATTCAGGGTTTATAAATCTGAACGGCAACTTAAAATGCCATAGACGATCTGGCTAGGCGTGACTATTACAGGGACTAATTAGGTAACCCTTATCTCCCTAATATTAACGTATTCATACGTAATTACAACGCAATTATATGGTGCGGTTATATTGAGGCTTTTTATAACTTGCATGATAACTAGATTATGAGAGCCACTAAAGTATTTAGCCCTCAAATGTTAACGTAGGCTTCCATTGATGAATTCAAAATATATTTTTATCTCAGTTTTTTAAATAAATAAGTGAGACGACACTATGAATTACTAAATATTTCGGCAGTGGATACCCACGGTAACCGGCAAGTATCGGTGACCAATTTACAGGGTTGTCAACATCAAATTTTCTGATGAGTAAATAATATAGAATAAATCTAAAAAAAATAATCTAAGTAACCATTTGGTGGTGAGGTGGGGAGGTGGGGGGTGGTTGGGCGAACGCCCACGTAGTGAGACTGGAAGTGGCGCCACAGGTATGCAAATTACACAGTCTTACGTAATCATGTTGACCCAACTCACCTCCCAAAGACAAGGTAAAAATTGGGGGTGTCATAGAAGTTCTGGTAGCACCAAAACCAGCTCTAATAGGGGTACGATTTATAGGCATTTTGGTTAACTTGTCGCATCTACACTATCAAGATAAACTGATGACCGAACATTAAATCGATTTCGAATCATTACAACTTTAACGAAGACCTAAACTAAAAATTAGATACTTGATAATTTGATCTAAAATTGTATTTAAGAATTTAATTTTTTTTACCATAAATAACTTAAATTTTTAGGTGACGACATTCAAGGCTTAAAATTGCCCTGCGATTCTATAAGTAGTAGATAATATCTGATAAATCAAGGCGTACGTGACGTGAAAATTGTGAAAATTTTTCCACCCGCGATAAAATCTCTTTGCAGTAAACAAGCAAGGTGAACTTGTATCGATTAATTTACTAACTGCGTAGTTGCGGATGACCTTTGACATTTATTGTTCTCGAAGGTGGGCCAGCATCCCAGCACCGCGGCGGAAGGATGAGGCAGGTAGCCTCCAACAGCAGCTCCTCCCATACCATCGCTCCGCCCCCAAACCTTGTAGCCTTTACAACGTTATTCAAATAACATCTAGAATGTTGCCACGCGTAAGCTCATTCCCAACATTTTCGGGAAAATAAAATTTAAATAAAAATCATGAAAAATGTTTCTTAAAAATAGCATTATTCGATCTGTTACAAAAATAATGAGACGCGATAAGATAATAAACTAATTAATTTAAGTAAACGTTAAAAATTTTTGCCAATAATTCTCCCACGATTTAATAATCCAATCCATCAATCCATCTATCCATCCAATTCAATGCTGTAATTGACGATTCCTTAATAGGAATCGTCAATTGCAGCAAAAAATTATTCAAATAAAGGTAAGTACCCAATTAGGAGGCATTGTTTAGACGTCCGTCGTGTAGGGCGCCGTGCAGGCACTTAGGAGACCACAACTCAATTAGTTACGAAGGAAGCGGAAGTCAAAAAGCATCTTATTTATCAACTACCCTACACCCAAGTGTGCTAAAAATATAATATTTATAAAGATATTTTTCTTCGTCAAAATAGCGTACAGCACGATAATTTTTTCACTGGAAATTCATAAAACTTTAGGTATAGGTGAGCCCATTTATGCTGGTATTGGAATTACTAGACTTTCTTTTGATCAAATTGATTTAAATTAAATTAAAATTTACATGATAAACCTCTTAACAGACCGTTAGATATTATATGCTACGCTAAATTTTCTTACTAGATTGACGCAAATATACTAATTGATTGTTCTCCATAACTTAACATTACAAAATACAATGCTTTAAATATATCTGTATCCTTCAATATATTGTGTACAATGATACAATGTGTAGAGAACTTGGTTGTGAACATCGTACGTTATACCAAGTACCGACTTACTTGAGAATTCGATAATTGAATAGCTTATGCGATATTCCAGACTGTAGTCTATCATTGTGCCCAATTTAATCCGGATCCATTCTACCGTTCTGGAGTTACGAGGTTACAAACATCTGTCGAATGTTTCATATTATGAATACGAAAGTTTGATGCATATTAGTTAAATATCCATTAATTGCATCTTTAATCATTTTTGGCAATGATGATTGAGACATTTTTAAAGGCGATTTTATTTCGTAATTTCCTTAAAAAAATTGGAAGTAAAGATTTAAGTTTGGGAAACACTTTTATTAGCGGCCATTTTCGTTGCCATTGGACACGCGCATGCTCTGTAACTATTGGTATATCGAGGTCGTTTCACACTTACTCTGGATTTATTGTAGCTTTTATAAAACATCAGGATCGAACCAATCGCTCATTCGAGGTGTAGCAGCGGAACAGCCAAGTAAGTAACTTCCTACTTAATAACTGATGAGTATTTGATTTCACATATGTATGTCCATTAATTTTCCGTTTGTATTAATTTATCTTTATGTCGGAAAAAATCGATAAATGCTAAATATCAAAACGAATAAAGGATATACTTAATATTGGTCCTTTTTCATTATTATTTAATTAATTAATTACATAATTAATTAATCACCTTATAATATTTTAAATAAATTAAATTATATTTTAAAACATCTTAAAATTATTTATAAAATACAACTTTTTTCTACATAATTATTATTTAAAAACAATTTAATTTTTTACCAAGAATTTATGGTGCCGCGATAAGAGCGCTGTCAATATTAGTCCAATACAAGTTCCGTGACAGTACCCCATCGTTGGGATGTTGGCGGCTTACAATCCAACGGTTTTCGGTTCGAGGTCTAATTATGTTTTGTATTACAGTCAATTTTAGTTTTACTTTTATTTCCGATCGGTTTACGATATAAGAAAATATTATGCTAAAGATTTTTTCATGCGTAAACCTGATGCCAAAATAGTTTTTTTTTTATTATAAAAATTGGAACATTGGTTACGTATAATATGTTCTTAATAGATGTCGTCAGTAGTATTTGAAATTATTGTGTTTGTTATGTGTGCTGTGTTGTTTATCTACAAATTTAAATATATGTATTACTAGCTGTTCTCGCGATTTCATCTGCGTGAAATACTGTCTTCGGTTAGCATTAATTAAGCTTAAAGCTTAATGACTCAGTCTAAATATTATATTTCGGATTACAAAATATTAGCTGTGCTCGCGACTTTGTCCGCATAAGATGCTGTCTTCGGGTAACATTTTAATGGCTAATACTAAATATTTTTCTTGAAATTATAAAATACTAGCTGTGCTCGCGACTTCATCCGCGTGAAATACTATCTTGGGTTAGGATTAATTAAGTTTAAAGCTTAATGACACAGTCTAAATATTATATTTGAAATTATAAAATATTAACTGTGCTCGCGACTTTGTCCGTATAAGATGCTGTCTTTGGGTAACATTTTAATGACTTAGACTTAATATTTTACTTGAAATTATATAATACTAGCTGTGATCGCGACTTTGTCCGCATTTTATGTATTGTCTTCGGGTAAAATTTTAATGGCTAATACTAAATATTTTTCTTGAAATTATAAAATACTAGCTGTGCTCGCGACTTCATCCGCGTGAAATACTGTCTTCAGTTAGCATTAATTAAACTTAAAGCTTAGTGACTCAGTCTAAATATTATATTTCGGATTATAAAATATTAGCTATGCTCGCGACTTTGTCCGCACAAGATACTGCCTTTGGGTAACATTTTAATGACTTAGACTTAATATGTTACTTGAAATTACAAAATACTAGCTGTGATCGCGACTTTGTCCGCATTATATGTATTGTCTTCGGGTAACATTTTAATGGCTAATACTAAATATTTTTCTTGAAATTATAAAATATTAGCTGTGCTCTCGACTTTGTCCGCATAAGATACTGTCTTCGGGTAACATTTTAATGACTTAGGTTAAATATTTTACTTGAAATTATGAAATACTAGCTGTGCTCGCAACTTTGTCCGCATAATGTACCTTCTTCGAGTAACATTTTAATGGCTTCAGCTAAATATATTACTTGAAATTATAAATTACTAATTACGTGCGCGACTTCCCTGTATTTGAATTTGTGCTGTTATCCATTACAAATCATAATACTGTATGTTACTGGAAGTGCCCGCGACTTCCATCGCGCGAAATACTATCTGTTCGGTTAGCATTTTTAATGACGTAGGCTAAATATTTTACTTGAAAATATAAAATATTACAACGAAACATATTAAAC